ATCACAGTGTAAAGTTGGTATAGATGGTGTGCAGAGAGCTTTCCAAAACTGAGTTCTCACCACAGTGTCATTAAACCAGGTGTTTGCAGAGCCCAAGTACATGAGTTCAAGCAGATTGAAGTCCCTCCTCATTCTCTTCCATCACACGGGGTTTTTGCATGGGCCTTTACAGCTTCTCAGCGCTTTCAGCCTGTTTTGAGCAGCTTTCTAACCAGATTAGGACACAATCCACCTAGGCGTAGACAGCAGCCGCCCAGCTTGTCACTGCCCTTCTCCATCCTCTTCCTGAACCGCATTTTCCTTGCACCAAATAAGGGCTACAGCCCTTCTCCTGCCCATGGCTTCAAGTGGTGGCTCTGGCAGGAGCCACCATCACCTCTTTGAAGGCAGGAGCCACATTCCTCTCCCCACCTCCTCTTGTGATTTCATTTACAGTGATGCCAAGGAAAGTTATTCCCCTCCCTCTCAGCCCTTATTTAAGTCTCACCCGTCCTGTTCCTTCTCAAAACAAGCTTTAAAGCACCCAGGGTTACAACTGGCTCCTTTAGGTCTTCCGTGGGAATGCTGAGTTTTTCTGCTCCAAAGATCGCAAGCAACTCGGGGTCCTATTCTGTATTAAAGACCAACGAAGTCAAATTAAATACCAATTCTTTATTAATATAAAAATCTTAGTATAAAAACAGAATAGTTCATTGTGTGCACATAGGAAGGACAAAGGTCAAACAGTACAATAGCAATAAGGCAAAAAAATACGTAATAAGGCAATTTAAGATTCCCGAAAGAGTGCATCTTTCCAGATTCATGTTCTTTCACTTTTCTGTGCCATACATTTATCTCTGACAAGACCATAAAGTTTCGGGCAGTCACTTGCTGTGCTTTCTAAAGTGAAACCTGTTAATCGAAGCATTACATATATTAACACGAGCCATTACTACTTATTCCAGTGATGAAATCACTTATTGCAGGGAGATTTATTTAGTGACGGTACTTCATCAAGTTGCATAGAGAAGGATATAGGAAAAGTTATCCAGGCAAGTATTTGCTGTTATTTTATTTGATTATCATGCATTTCCATCATACCCATTTAAAAGGATTTAAAGAAAAAAATATGATGAAGCTGTGATATAGAGCTGTGCAGCATGAAAGACCACATGAATATATGTTGGAGTATTTTTGAAGAGAGATAATCATGACAGAGGTGAATTTGGTTAATAATATTAATGTGATTGCTTTGAGTGGAGCTCAAAGCCAGGTTTAACACCTGATAAGACTAAGCTGACAGGCAGCAGGGAGCACTGATAGGATTACCCATTGGGAACAGGCGGCTCCTTAAGCTGCCAAGCAGGGGAGAGCAGCCCAAGGGAAACAGGGCAGCAGCTCCGATTGAAGGTGCTCTTCTGCTTGGAGGACAGTGCCCATTAGTATAGTATTATTCTTGTCCATCTCTTCTATCCTTGGGTAGAAAGATGCATAGATGGGAATGAAAATTGTATCTACGTGTTTGAGGCTTAGCCGGAGCAGAGACCAAACTGATCCCTACTTCTCTGTATAACGGGGCTTCCTAAAAGCCCCATTGATCAGACCTGGTGCTGAACTTGGTTACCTGTAAGGGGTGCCCAGGCACCCGGTGAAAGGCACCGAGCAGACGATCCCAGCGCTAAACCTTGTGGAAAAGCATCACTTACTGCAAAGCCACCCCCGAGACACAAGCCTGCCCCGAAAGAATAGCTTTTCCTAACAATCCAAGCATGTCATTTGGATATTCTATCCAGGCAACTTCTATGGGAGGCATTTCAAATTATTACAGAATCGCTATGAACAAAGTAAAATCATGGTCCAGTCTGTTAAGCAATATAACGTAAGGTATTGACAGATCCCTTGAAAACACTTCTCTCCCTGTTGAAGTGCTATGTGTTCCTCATGCACCCAACCCAGGCATCCAGAAGATCCCAAGCCTCTCGAAAACAAGTCTGTGTGCAGTAGCTCGGTGACCAAAGCCAGTCTGCAATCATTCAACTGTTAGCACTAAAAAAAATAAATAAATAAAAATAAAGTAGGATTACTAGGATTATCATGATATTCGTCAAAATTATTTATCTACCCAAAGATTACTGGAAGCATTCATGTCAATTTTATACTGAAACAGAATGAAACTACAGAGGATTAAATAAATATTTGTCACTACAAATATAGAACAGCAATAGTTGAATAGTTCCTGGCTCCTGCTTAATGTAAAGACTTCTGGTTTCATTTACTAAAATATAAACACTGGAAACATCCGCAGTCAGATATTTGCAATATCTTATAGTTTATATCATAAAAAGTGGGTACTATTTTAAAACAAATTAAATTACTTATTACTTTTTAGAGGGAGGAGAGTTAGTTATTCCCAACATTGTAAAAAAAGTGCTGACTCACCTGCTCGCCGATAGCATTTTTCTGCCAACAGTTGGTAGAGACGGTTCACAATGGAAAAAGCTTCTTATCCACCAACTTTTATCAATTAATTCAGGTAGCCCTGCCGGAGGGGAGGAAATGCTGTCAGACACTCACTGAGCAACAGGCTGGCAAAATGCAGAGAGCTAGTGGAAAGAAAGAGGTGATACCTGGGGTTTTGTGCTGGTCTGGAACATTCCCAGGATCGGAACACAAGGATGAACCGGAGGAAACGCTGCACTCCGAGTTCTGTCGTGCTGCTCACGGAACACAAAGAACGAAAAAACACTCAGGGAAAGCACAATTCCAGGCCAAGGGCATTCGCAGAGGACGGGGTATCTCAGAGGAAAGGATACACCCAACAATAACTTTGCTACACTGCAAAGAGCGGTATTTCAACATCAGCTATTTTTACTGCAAAAAAAGTGTGAAAGCTTTGGTAACTCATCCCTCATCCACCAGTTGTTCGGGAAAAAAGCCAACTTGATAATGCGCTCTGCCTGAGCTTGCAAAACTGCTAATTCCATGTTTTACCCATGCCACACTTTATAATAATAATAAAAAAATCCTGCTAATTATTTCGATGGGGAAAGTTAGATGAATGACCAGGGGTAGATAGCCAAAGTGGGAGAGTCTGGGTTAGAGGGAGACCAAGCGAATGGGGGCCTCGTTCTTCCAGCCTGCCCAGAGGGGACCCGCGATCCCGATGGAACCCT